CCTCAGGCTTCTGAGTGCCAGGATTACAGGCATGCGCCACCATGCCCGGCTAAACACATTGATTTTTTAAGAAAATACGTGGCAGTTTTCTTTAATCATAATATATTTGCAATATTAAAATTAATATCCAAAGTAGTTTTTTTTTTCAGCTTTAATTGAGTTTATTGGTATATTTTAGGGATATAGTACAGTTACATTCATTGTTGGGATCTTGTACCTCTACATGACAAGTCTTAATTCTCATTTTTTCCCCTTACCCCTGCCCTCCCTTCACCCCCTACCAAAGTAGTTTTAACACCTACCAAAAGATACCCTACATGTTGGGACCGTAATATTTATAATCGAATTATAAAGACATTTCCTTACCATTTTTGACAAGGTTTCAAGTATCTACCATTTGGAAAACATAGAAACCAGCCACGTGCAGTGGTGCACACCTGTAATCCCAGCACTTGGGAGGCTGGAGTGGGAAGATTGCTGTGAATTTGCAGCCAGCCTAGGCTACATAATGAGTTCAGAGCCAGCCTAGACTACATAGTAGTGAAGCCCTGTCTCAAAAAAAAAAAAAAAAAAAATTCAAATTAGGAAGCAGTCTTTCTTAGCTATGCGTGGTGACACATGCTTGTAATCCTAGCACTCAGGAGGCTGATGCAGGAGGATGGCTTCAAGTTCAAGGCCAACCTGGGCAACATAGTTCAAGGCCAGCCTTGAGTACATAGTGAGACCTTGTCTTAACAACACCCACAGAAAGTAGAGATAGACTTCATTTGGATTCTGTCAAGTGAACTTTTAACAACATTGCATGATGATTTTAGAAAACTATTTTTTCATATTTTATAGATTTGAAACATTTCATCTACTGAAATATAAATTTTAAAATGTAGAAGGAGGGGCAGGATTAGGAAATGTATTTTGGAAAAAATTTCCCAGCAACAGAACTGATTTTTCAGAGAATAGGAAATTTAGAACCGTCTTTCTGGTTAATAGCCTTAGGAATAAATTATGTTAGTTATTGCTCAGGTAAACTTGTCAGAGTGAGTGGTGAATTAATATATATTATTGACATTTGTGTATTATTCTCTACTTATGATACTTTGAGTAATCTAGAAGTAGATGGATATCTCAAATGCTGTGTTATTATTATTATTTTTGAATAACAGATTTCTAGGTACTGGCATCAAAGTAGCCTATGAACAAAGACAAAGACCCACTTCTAGGTACTTCAGTACGGATGTGTCCATTGGCCAGATGGAGCTCTTAGAGTGTCTGTTTCCGACTGATTTTCATTCTCTTCCTCCCCACTATACAGAGGTAAATACTGATTGGTTCCTTCAGAATTACTCTTTAAATCTGTCCTTTTTATGAATTGATTGAACAGTAATAATTTTCTTAAAAAATTTGTAGGAAGTCATAAAGGTGTATTATCATATTTTATCTCTGTTTTTTGTTGAAACAGATTTTAAAATATGACATCCAAGTGTGTTAAAATTTTTAACTTAGGGTTGAGTTGTTTCAGAGTGTCAGATTATGAGATGAATACTTTCATTTTAGGAACACTTCATTCGGAAGAATTCTGTTACCAAGCACGTTCTGAATGCCTGTTGTGTGCCAAGTACTATTTAAGACAAGTGTTTGCTTTCTTTTACCATTAAACTGCTGCTTTTCTTTCCTAAAGTAAAAGTGTGACCAAGAGACACTTCTTAAAACTGGCAAAATAACATTACTGTATTACTGTTGCCTTGCTATTATATAGTATTTTATTTTTATAGTCCTTTTTTTTTGGTTCTGGGGGTTGAACTCAGGTCCTTGCGCTTGTGAGGCAGGCAGCAGAACCACTGAGCTAAATCCCTGGCCCTTTATAATCCTTTTTTTGAGAGAGTCTTGCTATGTAGTTCAGGCTGGCTTTGCACTCACTGTGTAGCCTGGGCTGGCCTTGCACTGTGGCGATCTTCCTGCTGCAGCCTCTTGAATGCTGGCATTACAGGTGTGCGCAACCACACCCGGCCTGTCATCTTTTCTTGGGCATTGATTTATTTGAATCCTGACATTCTGCAGCTGAGCTACTGAGTGTCACAGAATTTAACTAACTGGACTAAGATTTGCATTGCTAGTAAGTGACTGGAAAGAAACTTAAAGGGAACGTTCTGACTTCAAAGTGTTCTTCCAGGTATCACATCCTTGTAGACCTGGGTACTTCTGTGAATTCACGTGGTAATTAGCTCAATATCCTGTTTTATCTTCATCTTTGTTTTCAAGCTGTTAACGTTCCATTCTAAAGAAGGAGCTGATGCCCACCCCCCTGTATGTCTTCAGCTTCATTATAAGCATTTGGAGAACAAAGGAACCCAAGTAAGAGATCTTTTTGAGTGATTGCTACTGTAAAGTTTTATTTGCTATCTATTTTCTCACAATCGTGAGGGTTTAACCTAATTTTATAGTATTAATTATTATTAATGATTATATTAATGCCTTTTTTTAAAAGGGTAATCAAGCAAGACTTACTTCAGTTCCTCAGAAGGCAGAATTACAAATTAAATTAAACCCACTGTGTTGTGAGCTGGATATCAGTATTGTGGACAGGTTAAATTCCTTGCTTCAACCACAGAAACTTACGACTGTAGAGACGATGGCCTCTCACATGTATACTTCATATAATAAGCATATTAGTCTGGTAAGTATTTAAAAAGTTGTAAATAAATGTAATTGTAATTATGTAAAAAGCTTACTGGGATAATTTCTTAGCCAAGTCTCCTTAGTAGATTGAATAGGATATGTTAAAACGGCATTATTTTTAATAATGAAAACCAGATGCTTTTATGTCTTGAAAATAGTTAAGTTTTGATAATATGCTGATGAAATTTTATGCAGCCATTCTAAGGTGGTAGTTATGAGGATAGTGTGGCACCTTGCAGAAGGCACATGGGAAAGTGAAAATGGGATCATCTTGCCTGAGCCTCCCGAGTAGCTGAGGTGCTAGGCGTGTGGCACCTGTCTCAAATAAAATAATAAAAAGAACTGGGAATGGATCTCAGCACTCTCTGAGTTCAATTCCCAGTACTGGGCCAGTTGAGAAGTACTAAAAGAAAAAGTACGATATATTATTTCACATAAACTTTCTTTACAACTGTATAAAGTGATGTGTAAAAAAAAATGAATGAGTGGAAATATGGAAATTGATAGCATTTTTGATTATGTTATAGTAGAATTGGATTTCCTTTTCTGTTCATCCAAATTCTGTAAACTGTGATTATAACATGCATCAAGTTTTCCCTGTCAACACATTTGATAAATTTCTCTAACTAAACCAGGGATGGCGAATCTTTTAGAGGTGAGTGCCCAAACTACAACCCAAAACCCACTTATTCATCACAGAGTGCCAATACTGCAATTAAACCTGAGTACTTAGGTTTTAGTTTAGAAAAAACAATTCATATAGTAATGTCTTTTTTTTTAGTTGTCTTTCAGTTTACTCATTTTTTTTTGTAACATCTTTTTTCTTAAAAGAAAAGCAAATAACATATGTGCCATAGATTCACCATTACCAACATGAACAATTTAGTCTTAAAAATAGAAGATGTATGTTTTTTTTTTTTGGTACTGGGGATTGAACTCGGGTCCTTGCTCTTGTGAGGCAGGCGGCAGAACCACTGAGCTAAATCATCGGCCCTTAGAAGATGTATTTTTGAAAATGGGGAAATCATCTATAGAGCATCACATTTTGTTACTTGATGCTCAGATCTATTATATGGAGTTGTTTCTAAGCAAAATAAGTAAGTCAGGCTTTCAAGAAATCTATGAGGAATTTGGGGGCTGTAGTCACAGGACCAGACATAGGCAACTTTCGTTACAAAGACAAGGGAAGAGATATTTTATTTCCCTACTTACTTGCTTTTCCCTTAGTGATATTTATTTACAGGAAATCGGAGTTCTTATATTCTTACCGATTGCTAGTTATTTTGGGTTCTCTTGGTTAGTCTCTGTATTTGCTGCTAGCCATACATGGACTAGGATAATGGCTTAGTCTCATGAGTTGTTTTTGCCTGAGAGTGGGTCTGGTATTAGAAAGTCAGTAAGAGGGTTGATAGAATAGCTTTGTTAAAAATTCAAGTCTTATTGAGATGGAAACTTTTCTTTTCTTTTTGTCTTTCTTTTCTTTTGTTGAGACATGATCCCACTATGTTGTTGTTTTGTTTTTTTGTTTTTTTTTTGGTACTGGGGATCAAACTTGGGACATTGTGCTTGTGAGGGAGGTGATGGCACCACTGAGCTAAATGCTTGGCCACAGGATCCCACTATGTAGTTGAGGCTGGCCTCGAACTCACTATGTAGCCAAGGCTAGCCTCAAACTTGCAGCAGTCCTACTGCGTCAGCCTCCTGAGTGCTTGGATTACAGGTGCATACCACTACAGCTGGCCAGGAACTTTCTAGTTAGGAGTTTAAGACAGTGAATCAAGAAATCAAGAAGTGTTACCATCTACTATGGACTAAAGCTTTATTAGTTTCAATACATTCTAGAGAAAAGTTAGAAAGGATTATTTATTTGAATGGCATATTCTTTAAACCTTTTTTTATAACATGGTTTGATACATGATATATACATTTTGTTTCCTAAGAGACATTTGATGGGATCTTGCCCTTTGATTGGATAGGAGTTCAGAATTAGTAAATATTTAGAAACTAGGATGTACCAGAGGCTCTGGACTTAGTCCTGGAAATAAGAAGGTGAGTCTCTAGTCTTTGTTTTTGGCACAATTATCTGAGCCTGCAGTGAGTCTTTAAAGTAGCTATTGATAGGTAAATGTCTCACATTGAATGTTGGGTACTGTAGTGATATTTAATTGTATAAGATTTATTGAAAGGCTAAATTATAATTTTTTGTTTATAATAAGATGTAGTATATCTGTAGCTCTTTCTTTGGTTCAGCTTTTATTTTGATCTATATATTTTTCTATCAAGGTTAACTGTTGCCATTAGTTCTGACTTTTACCATTAGTGTTGCATTGTAAGATTTCATTACGCTAAATTAATGTGGTAGCAGTCAGTTTGATTTGTATTTTAATGCATTATACTAAATGGGGAAATAACGATTGTGTATGTTATGATGCTGAGTACTATTGTCATTTTTGTTCATTTATTTAATTTAATATTTTGACTTTTTGATGTTTTGTGTTTTAGCACAAGGCTTTCACTGAAGTATTTCTCGATGATTCACATAATCCTGCAAATTGTCGGGTATCAGTCCAAGTTGCCACTCCAGCATTAAATCTTTCTGTTCGCTTCCCAATACCTGATCTGCGGTCAGATCAAGAAAGAGGACCCTGGTTTAAGAAGTCACTTCAGAAGGAGATCCTTCATTTAGCATTCTCAGATCTGGAATTTAAGACAGAATTTATAGGAGGATCAACCCCAGAACAAGTTACATTGGAACTTACATTTAGAGAACTAGCTGGTAAGATTGAAAGTGCTTATAAAAGAGCCATAGTAGATACAAATAACTGCTATGAAGCTTATATCACAAAAAATATATGACAGCCCCAAAATGTAATAGACTTAATGAAAATTATATTAGAAAACAAGAGCAGCAAACACTCTTCCCCATTGTGTGCACATATGTGATATATCAGTTTTTTAAAAATTGCCAAGCACGATAATTAATCACTTTGTTAAAATACTGAATTTCCACTGGGTGATATGTGCTTTAGCCTGCTTCTCTATTATCACTGCCCAGGTACTGTGTAGGTTTGTATTAGCCAGAATCTATTGTGCCACTTTATGTTAGGTGCTTTGTAAAGCACTTTACACACATTATTTGATTTCTTTTAATCATCATAATATGCTTATTTTTACTGTTGTTTTTATAATTTAGTAGATGAAAGAATCAGTATGTTTAGAAGGAGGTATCTTCCAAGATCACATTGTAGTAAATGGAAGAATCAGAATTCTAACTCAGATTTGACATCAGAGCTTAAGTTTCACCAGTTATATGAACTAATCTTAATGATTTTTCTTTGTAAAACCAATTTTAGGATTTGTATATTGCTCTGTTTTTGTCAGCTAGCATATACATAAGCATAGAGAGAATCGAGTCTGAAGAAATTTTGATCCTGTTTTTTTTTTTTGTTTTGTTTTGTTTTGTTTTTTTTTTTTTTGAGATAGGGTCTCACTATGTAGTTGAGACTGAACTGGAACTCACTATGTAGCCCAGGCTGGTCTCGAACTCACAGCGATCGTCCTGCCTCAGCCTCCTGAGTGCTGGGATTACAGGCATGCGCCACCATGCCCAGAATAGATCTTTGATCCTGTAATTCCTGTAATGCTGACCTGCCACCACACCCTCCCTCTGCAGCCACGTGCCCTCTCTTCTTAATCCCTTTTTGGAACAGGCTGCAAAAGTTTCCCTTCCCTGTTCTCTCTGACGTTTACACATCTTTGGTAATAGATCAACATTTGCCAAATTAAGACTTTATGAAAGAGCCTTTAGGTATTATCTGATCATTGCTTATCTCTAGTATCAAGAAGCTCCTTATTTGGGAGGAAAGCCATTCTTTTCAATGCACAATTCAATGAAAAGTAACATATAGAATGATTTTGAATAGTGCCTGGTAAAAAAGACATATTTAAGAAATGTAATTTTTTATATATATAAAGAAACATAGTTACCTTTGTTTCTAGTGGTATATTAGCTGCATAAACTTCTCTTTTAGAAGAAGTAATTACCAATAATTAGAATATTACTAATAGTAATAGTTACTAATATTTAGAAGTAATAGTTACTAATATTTAGAAGAAATAATTACTAACCACCCAGCAAGTGGTTACTGCCAAATTGACTGTGTCCCGATTATGCACCTTATACCTGAAACATTGGCACTTACCAGTTTCAGCTTGAATATGCATGTTGCATGAGAGTGAGGTGAACACATAGATGCTGTGGAACTTAATGGTGGGTTCTGTCCCTAGTGTAGAGAAGCTTTGCTCCGCTAAGGAAGAAAAATCTTTGAGTACTTGAAGAATGGATTCCAGTATTTCTGTCTTGTTTTATTAGGATCATTCCAGGAGGACAAAGGAGAACCATCTCTTAAGTTTTTCCATGTGTCTGGTGGAGTAGATGGAGACTTAGCCTCATCAGATGACTTTGACTGGCCACGGTAAGCAGATGTGTAGGTGTAATATTCTCCTTTCAAAAATAAAGCATGACAGTCCTTTTAACCAACCTTTTGAGCATTAAATTTCAAGCTAAAAATAACCTTAATGAGAGAACCTAGAAGATGGACAAATAAAAAAGTACTGAGCACTCCTTTATATTAGATGTTTGTTAGAGGTTGTAAGAGATAGAAAGAGGTGCAGTTGTGGTTTTTTGGTATCAAGTTACCTGGTCTAATTAGGGGGATAAAATCCTAAAAATACTTCAGGGCTACAACAGGGGAGATAGAAGAAGCCAGTCGTGGGGGTGAGTGCCTGCAGTCCCTGCTATTCTGGAGGCTAAGGCAGAAGCATTTCTGGAAATCAGGGTTCAACACAGTGAGATCCTGTGTTACAAAACAGAAACAAAAACAAAAAAGAGATGTCAAAAGTCACCATTTGGTTGTCAAGTGAATTTTATAATTACTGGTTTTGGTTAGCATTTTTCACATCTACGGAGCTTTTACAAAGTTTAAGCCCGAACTTGAGATTCTGGCATAGTGTATTTAAAATTACAGCAAGTGATTCTAATGTGCATTTGAACTTTGAGACCCACTGCTCCAGGATTTCTTAGGCAGGAGAAACCATTCCTTAAATTACATTAGCGTGATAGTGGGGTTTGATCACATTTAGAAGAGCTTAGTTTACTTGAAATAATAATTTATTATAATATTGACAACACGAGTATTGGAAAGCTCTCTAAAAACTAGCCTTTTGGGCCATTTTTCTGCCTGCCTTCCAGCCGTGTATTAGCCTATCAGGCTCTTAGGACAAGCACTATCAGTACATGCTTAATGATGAACGAGAGTTTATGGTGTGAGTTTTTATCATAGAAATCGGATCCACTTCACGTAAGTGATTTAGAATCACAGTTTCCATTAGGAGATCCGTAAATTAAGAGATAGTTTATGATCGTGTCCTAGAAGGAAATGGTACCAACTTCTTAGGGAAAAAAATGTTGAGGTGTAAGAGCACAGCTGTTTGCTTGAGGGCGCTGTGCCTCATCATCTGAATGGGTTGGTATGGTGATAAAAAGCCAGTGCTAGTGATGTGCAGAAGATGAGGAAAGCAGTGAGCCAAACTCATTAACTTTTGCAGTCAAAGGCTGCATTAATGAAGTGATACTTTGGGGTTTATAGCTACAAATAACAGCAGTAGCACAAACACTTTATTACTCAATTTCCTGGCTGAAAAATCTAACTTTGTTGTTGAAGTTCTGAAACCATTTCCTAATTGGTTTCTCCATTTTCCATTAGAGCCAGTTGTGTAACATGAGGTTTTTTAGGTAGGCAAGTTTTCCACTGTGGCAGAACAGATTGTATGTGAGAAGATTTGGTTCAGTGATAACAACTCAGATTCTTGGGTAAAATTTCCTGGTTATTAATGAATTTAAAAACAGCTCCTTTGCCCTCCAAAGGTCATATCTCCTGTTAGCCAAGTATAAAATGTTACATTTTCATTTACCTGTTTTAGTTTTGTGCTTTTACGTTTACAACACATTCACAAGTGCTAGAGACTCCTGCAGTAAGTCTGTAGTCCCCACCTGCCAGTGTGCAACACAGGGCTGAAGAAAAACTTAGAGTTAAAGAGAAAGTGTGAACCGGGATGGCCAATGCTCCTTTGGCAAAAGGCCCTGGCCCGTCTCTTATTTTATTATTTGTCAGTCAGGGTAAAGGTACAATATGTATATAGATGTGCGGTACGTGAAATCTCCATGGAAACCAATGCAAGCATGGCTTTAAAGAGAAGTCAGAGCATTTTCAAATCAGGAACAGAACATACAAAATACCTGGTTGTAATTGGAGCATTATCCTTCAAGCTGTGAAGGCACCCACTGTGGGAATGGAGTTTGGGTGCGATCAGCCCGACCTCAACTACCGATGTCGTCTTGTATCAGCCTCACAGCTTCACAGGCCGTTACTCTGGCCTTGGCCGTGGGTTAGCAGGGAGGTGGTGTTAACCTGCTCGCTCCCACAATGCTCGTGAGGTCCTGTGAGTCACACAGCTTCAGGCAGACCTCCTTCTTAAAGTGAGCCCGTCGAGGGGCTGACTCTTTGCAGCCTGCCCTGCTCACAGCATGTTTGGGGCATAATCAATATTGCGGGCTCTGGCAAATAAGTGGGTTATTAAGCATAGATTTTTCTAAAGCAGTCCAACTCTTAGTGAGAGCTAATTAGTGTACTCTGTATTAGTGTTCACAAAAGTTAGTTTTGCTATTTGCACTTAGATCTTGATTTTTAAAAATATATATCTTTGCTGTCAGAATGGTACTGAAAATAAATCCACTGGCCATGCATTCCATTTTGGAGAGAATAGCAGCAGAGGAGGAGGAAGAGAACGACAGTCACTACCCGGAAGAGGAGGAAGGAGGCGCTCATTCCCTGAAAGATGTCTGCGACCTACGGAGACCAGCCCCTTCTCCTTTTTCTTCTCGTAGAGTAATGTTTGAAAATGAGCAGGTAAAGAAAAGTGCAAGGAAGCAGTGTGGATGGCTTTAAGTCCTTGTTTTTTTGTGGTTCTGGGGCTTGAACCCAAGACCTAGCATTGTGCTACACTCCCAACCCTTTTTAAATGTTTTTATGATGAGTTGGATCCTCACTGAGTTGCCCAGGCTGGCCTCAAACTATCCACCCTCCTGCCTCAGCCTCCTTAGTAGCTGAGATTACGAGTGTGTGACACCATGCCTGGCTTATTTTTAGTTTTTATTTTATTTTACAGATCAAACTCATGACCTTGCAAGACAGATGGTGGCATCACATAAGCTAAATTCCTTGCCCCTTCTTTTTATTTTTAAAAAACTTCTTTGCATACTGTATTTACTAGTTTGTTTTTGTTTTTGTTTTTGTTTCCAGTACTGGGGATCAAACTCAGGACCTTGCGCTTGCGAGGCAGGTGGCAGAACCACTGAGCCAAATCCCCAGCCCTTTAGTAGGGTTTTAACCCCAAGATTTATTGTTATTTTTTTCTTGATGTATATTGCCCCCGGTTGAATGCTAGTGCTTATCTATTTGCTCACATATAAATGCTCCGGGTACGTAATAAGATGCTACTATTTCAAACATAAAATTGTTTTTGATGCCTTTTAAAAAACTCAACTATTATGTTTTAGATGGTGATGCCAGGAGACCCTGTAGAAATGACAGAGTTTCAAGATAAAGCAATGAGCAATTCTCACTATGTGCTGGAACTTACGTTACCAAATATTCATATAACACTACCTAATAAAAGCTTTTATGAGAAGCTTTACAACAGGTGAGTTTAAACATACTTAGTTGAATCTTTGGAGTCAGACCTTCTGCCTAACTGGCTCTGTGTTTCACCTCTTACCCTCTTCTTTCCCTTGCTTTTTAAATGTGATCTGCCACCTGATGTGTTTTGGTATTGATGGTGCCGGGACTGTCACCATTACGAAGTGCTCTTGTCCTGGCAGTTTCCCATCTGGCACGGCCCGGGCTACTGGTGTGTAAGGTCTTGTCACCCTGTCAACTTATTGTAGGGTGCTGAGTACGAGACTGTTTTTTTCTACGTGCGCAGTGACAGTTAGGAGACACTCGTGGAGAGAGCCAGCCGGCACTAGCGTAGACCCAGCACCCTAGGGTAATTGTAAGGAGGGAAGCATCTCTTCTAGGATTCAAAAGCATATCTTCTTGGAATTACAAATGTGTAGACAAAAATTTAAATTTACATTTCAGCCCCCCTAAACTGATAATTTTGGAGAATTTGCCCAGCCTCCATAAAGCTCAGCTTCTTCATCCGTAAAATGGAGCAAAGTCTGGCACCTGCCTCAGAGGGCTGCTTGGAGGACTAAACGTTGTAACCCTGGGAGGTTCTGAGAAGGGTGTCTGGTTTATGCTAAGCACTCGGAGTGGTCTGCTACTGTTCTGCCTCCGCCCCTGAGGAAGTGCTTCCACAGCACACCTAAAATGCAGTCATGCGGTTTCCAGACGTCCTGACTGTTCATCACTCGTCTCCCCCGTGTGAGCGCGTTATTTGAAGTTCCATTCGGCTTAAAAACTCCCACCTGTTTCTGCCATACCTTGACTTGGCCTGAGATATCCCTGGCTCCGTGTTCCTTAGCTGTTCATGATAGACTCCAGGTCTTCTCACAGGGACCCCAAGGTCACCTGAGTTCAGTAGTATGGACAGTAGATTCACAAGGTAGTGTGTTGGGATATAGAAAGGAAACACACTAATTTAACTTTTTTAATATTTGCTTTATAACTCACATTATAAACAGTAGCACATAGTTTATAAATTCACATTAGATTTTTTAGGAGGCATCACTGCCTGGTTCTAGAGGGCCATGAGCGGCACCTGCTTCTTGCTTTCCATAATTTGGCTATATTGTTTTATATCAGGAGTCAGACCAAAGCTCTGTGTGACTCAAGTGGGCATGTCAGACTGGGCAAGCACAGCCCCTCCCTCAATGGCTGCCACGGAGCCCTAGGGCTGAGTTACTGCAGCTGAGGTCAGCGTGACCCCAATTAAAACCCTTTCCCCTGAATTATGGCTTCTCACTGACCTGATGGGTTGCATGCTAATTGCACCCGATCCCAGTACCAGTTTGTTCCATCTAAGCAAGATAAGCAGTACCTCCTCCCTGATAGCCCTGCCTGGCACTGTCATGCCAGGTGTTCGGCACTATTTCACTGGATGACTTTAAAGCTCCCCAGCTCCCTGATCCTTCCCACAATTGTATTCAGTAAATACTGGATGTGCTTGGAGGCCTTTGTCTTTGCTGCTGTGAGCTGCACTGACCAGGACCCAGGACCCAAGGCTCAGCTTCTCCACTCTTAAGTCTTGTTTCTGTCTGTTTTTTTTGGCTTTTTTTTTTTTTTTTCGAGACAGGGTCTCACTTTGTAGTTGAGACCGACTTGGAACTCACTATGTAGCCCAGGCTGGTCTTGAACTCTCAGCAATCCTCCTGCCTCAGCCTCCTAAGTGCTGTGATTACAGGCATGAGCCACCACACTCGGCTTGTTTCTGTCTGTTGTTAAATTTGCCTTGTTCTGTGGTGGCTCACAGGTCAGGACCGAAGTCAGGAGTCCTGGTAACGTCCCCTTCCCCACTCCCTACAGGATTTCATAATTTTTTTTTAACTGTTGGGGTTTGTTTGCACATAAAGTTTGGAAACCACAGATCTACAGATTCCTTCCTTGGGTTTGTAGGTGAGTGATACCTGCTCATTGCTGCCATGTGTAGGGCTGAGTCTGAGGGCAGGAAGAGCCTGGTCCTCTTGCCTTAGCCTCCCAAGTAGCTGAGATTACAGGCACATGCTATGTGCCTGGCTGTACCACTTCTTTTTGAAATATAGGACAAAGGTCTTTGAATGTGAGCTATTGATTAGAATCTCACCTTGTCTTTTTTGCATAAAGTATGCCCAGAAGTTTGGGAATTGTCTATACTTTTTAGTTCTAGTTCATTTAAAATGTAGTAAAAAAATTTATTTTCAAAGTAATCTGAGGGCAGCGTCCTTATAAATTCTTAAGATTCTTTTCCATGCCAATCTGGATATTTGAAATGAATCATTTACCATGTAGTATTTAATTAAACTTCTACTTAAAGTAAGAAATACAATCAGATTTGAGACCAAACCCAATTGTCCCTTGGTGAATATGTAAGATGTGTAGCTCTTCTGTTGTGAGTGGAAGTTCACAGGTGTGCTGGAGAGGATCCTGTCTGTGGCAGGCAGGCAGTGGTGGGATAGCAGTCACCATGGCTGTTTGAGGCCACCGGTGGCTGACTGCTTGGCCAGAAGCTGGAGCACTGCTGCTCACTGGCTGTGTGGAGATGCCTTGGGAGTTTCTGTTCTGTCTTGTTCTGCTGCTTCTCCATCTTCAGGTCCTGTAATTATGTGAATACTAAAGTGCTCCCTTGTTCTGGGAGAAATCTTGTGTTTAACTTCCTCAGGCTGTGAATCCCTTGCCTCTTACTTGGCTTTGTATTTTCAAGTTAAGATTATTTAAAAGTTTTTCAAATATTCCCAGACAGCTCCTAAGAACAATACAAAGAATTTCTCCTATTTGAGGGGAAATTGCTAAGAGGATGCCTCCTTGGCCTTCAATACCTGAGGACTTCAAAAACAAAAAACTGAGGAAAAACAAGGACATTTTACATAACCTTAACTCAGTCATCCAAATCAGCAAATTAATATTGATACATGCTATCCATTCAGATTTTACTAAATGTTGCAATAATGTCCTTTTTTTTATATAAAATCTTTTTGAGCAAGAGTTCTAACCAACTCTGCCTTTATTTCATAAAATATTGGTTTATTCCTTTAGGGCCTTGGTCAGTTGACCCATTTTGGAAAGATAGTTTCAGGTACAGGAATTTTTTTTTTCTGTCAGATGTCCTTTAGAATATAAAAAATTCTTACTGTTTTTATTAAATCAATTACTTATTGAGCATCTGTTATGTTTCAGGCTCATAAAGACAGAGTTAGGACAATAGGTCCTTAACTATCTTAGGGGTTGTTTTCTTTCTTGATATTAAAGATATCACATGACATTTTACAGTATCAATGATGTCAGCACTGTGTTTGGACCCACTTATAAATGAGAACACTATAGTTAAATGATATTGAACTTGTAGGTCACATGCTGTGAGCTCCAGGTTTCATTTTTAAGTAATTGGTTCTCTTTACCCTATAAGCAGATAATGCTTGCAGGGGGTAAGGTACAGGAAGATCATTTCCTGAGAAAGTTCTTCATTTTATACCTTCATCATTCATGTACATAGGATTTCAGACTAGAATGAATTCAGTCTTTTGTCTCCTTGTCCTGTACTGTGCCCAAGTAGCAGTAAGCCACATTCGTACATAGTTTTAGGTTTTTGGCTGTCAGTGTCTGAGATGTAGCATCCTTCTGTCCTGCATTTCTGATATTGTTAATAGTGATGCTTCCAAAAAGGGGCCTTTTGGGTGCAGTTTATAACGTACCAATAGTCACAGTGCACAGGAACTCGCAAAGTGGCCTGGGAAGTGGCTCCACACAGGAAGGGGCAGGATGATGCCTCATTGGTTGGCACCTTGGTGAGTTTTCACACTGGGCTTTACCTCATACCTGTGCTGTGTCAGTTCTCTGTGTGAGGCATCCACTGTCCTTTCCTTGTCAGCTATCCATGCCTGTTAAGAGACAATCACCATGCTTAACATAGTAGAGATCACTGTGTATGTCCCCCTGTCCAGGGTCGTGGGACAGGCAGTCTTGGTGCAGAAAGGAAGAAGCAGACTGGAGTGTCAAGGTGCTGTGACTGAAATGGGCACTTGTAAAGGATGTGCTGTGGGTCCAGCTCTAACATAAGGCTTCCTGGGGAAGATTGCCAAGATTGGGTTTTCCTAAAAGTTTGGAGAGTGGGTGAGGAGAGGAGGCCAGGACGAAGGCTCTCTGAGCGGTGACAGGCATTTCTTTGAAAAGGCAGGGTGCACTGGTAGCCTAGCTGCGGTCCTCTGGTGACCGGCGTTGACTGGGTGGTCAAGCTAGTTAGCAGTATTTTCCTCTCCTCCTGCACTGCTCCCAGTGAAGTGTGCTTTCTGTTGGGGGAAAAGTCATCTCAGATGTTTCTGGAGATAAGATGAATTGGGAGCCCTGTGTAATCTGGATTTCCATCCCAGCTGTCCTACTAAGTGGCTGTGTGATGCTGCGAAGATCACTTCTTTACTAGGCCGTTTCTGTGGGTGTCAAGAGAGAGTATCGGTTCTCTGCGGCTGCCCACAGGACTGATGGGAAAGCCCAGGGCCGAGGCAGGAGTGTTGCAGTTACAGTGCTCTTGGGAGTGGCTGGGCTTCCTTTTGTCTTTGTGGATTTATATTTTAATTAGCTTGGCTTTTAAGTGCATTTAAATGAATAATATGAGTTACTAATTTGAGTAAATGGCACAGGTAGAAGCAGGCAAGGACTGGTCTGTTAGGTGCCTAATGTTTAAGTATCTGCTTAGGCACCTTACTGCTTCATCATAGCCTCATCAGCGGTTTTTCCATGGAAGGAATGTTGTTTTTAAAAAACTCTTTCATAGGATCTAACTTCCTCTTCACCATTTAAAAAATGCTTTGTTCATGTGATGACTTTCAGGCGTATCCTTTATTGTATCATAGCTTAAAATAAGGAGTTGCATATTTATTTATTTATTTTTATTTTATTCATTTATTTTTTTGGTACTGGGGATGGAACTTGGGACCTTGCACTTGTGAGGTGGGCGGTAGAACTACTGGGCTACATCCTTGGCCCTTATTTTTAAACTTTTGTCTTTGTAGGATCTTTAATGACTTGCTGCTGTGGGAGCCCACAGCTCCCTCCCCAGTAGAGACATTTGAAAATCTTTCCTATGGGATCGGGCTTTCCGTGGCCAGTCAACTGATTAACACCTTCAACAAAGATAGTTTTAGCCCACTTAAATCTACAGTTCACTACGGTAATGTTTTAAAATTTGTTCTGAATTAAAAGGCCTAGCTTATAAATCAATAAAGTAACTTTTATTTCACTTGTAGTATTTTAAATGTTTATATTTTCCATTTGTAAATGTATTTTATAATTTCTTTGATAATTTGTAAAAACATTTCTGTATTAATATTACTTGACTGTATTATCTGTAGAGTGATAATTTACACATTAAAGACAAAAATATGAAGGCATGTTTTTACTGTCATTGCATATTCTTTGTAAAAATAAGTAGATTACAAATCACAAATATTTTTGTGCAAATTTTTAAGTTGCTCTTATTTTGTTTTTTGGTTCCTGGAATTGAACTCGGGGCCTTGTAAGTTGTTCTTATTTTAATAAGCTCTAAGAACCATACAGTAGCATGTTTTTTTTCTCATAGATGAAGAAAGTGGATCTGAAGAAGAGACTTTGCAGTATTTTTCTACTGTTGACCCCAATTATCGTTCCCGTAGGAAAAAAAAATTAGACCCTCAAAACAAGAATTCCCAGAGTTTTCTCTCTGTTCTTCTGAATATTAATCATGGATTAATGGCAGTATTCACGGATGTAAAGGTAAGGAATATGGATTACAAGTCCAAAGTGCTTTTTCGAATGTACCTTACTTTAAATCAGTACAGGGCTGGGATGTAGCTCAGTAGAGAGCACTGGCCTAGCATGTGTGTGGCCTGGGTTCATTTACGTCCTGAAACTGAAGTAGTTTGAGGTTGTTCAGTGCATGCGGAAGAGTGCTGACCCTCAGCATGATGACAGCAACTTCTGGCACACAGCTGTCACTGCCAGTCAGCCTCTGTGTGGTCCTTTGGGAAACAGGTGCTAACCTTACTCCTAAGGTGGTAACTGGTAATTTATCTACCTTAAAGTGAGATGATATACAGAGATTGACAAGTATCTGGCAGAAGTCTTATGTAGCATTTAATTATTCAGCTTTTAGTACCACCATGTTGACTGGTACAAGAGTTAGGCTGCTTTTGTTGCAGTGTGGGAGATTTTCCTAAGCTGAATTAAGAAGATGCATTCCAAAGTATGCGGTTATTTTTCTGTATTTAAGTAATAGCTTTTGGGAGCTGAGGGTGCAATTCAGTGGTAGAGTGCAAGCCTATCATGAGTGAGGCCCTGGGTTCCATTTCCAGCATTGAAATGAAAATCAAAATTGTCTGTTTTTCTCATTTTTATTAGCAAGATAATGGACAGCTGTTGGAAAACAAGCATGGTGAATTCTGGTTAGAGTTCAATAGTGGTTCATTGTTTTGTGTGACAAAATATGAAGGTTTTGAAGACAAGCACTACATTTGCCTTCATTCTAGCAGTTTCAGTCTGTACCACAAAGGTAGGATAAATGTGTATTTGCTCATTTCTCTTTGGACATGTTAAATAGAACTTTGAAATTGGAAATTATTTTTTGGGTGGAGATTTGATCCCACTGTCAAAGTAATGCTTAGTATAAATTAGAAATTGGCTTATGTTCTTTTTGGTAATAGCTTTATTAATGTATAATCTATATACTATACAATTCACACATATAAAGTATTCATTTCAGTGGTTTTAGGATTTCAGAGCTGTATAACTATCATCAAAATAAGTTTTTAAAACATAGCCCTCCAAGAAGAAATTCCATATACTTCAGTGGAAACCCTCTCCACTCCTCCCTTTCCCCTACAGCCCTCAGCCACTACTAATCTATGGATTTTGCATATTCTGGAAGTTTCATACTTACAATAAATGAAATCATACAATATATCATCATCTTTCATTTGACATGTTTTCAAGGTTTATTCAGATTATATTAAGTACTCCATTCTTTTTTATTGCTGAATACTATTCCATTGTATGGATATACTACATCTTACTTATCTGTTTATCAGTTGGTGGGACTTTACATTTCTTATTCTATCTTAAGAAACATTTTCTTTTGGTTTCAAATACAAAATGTACTATTTTTTGAAAAGTTGTCCAGGTTACCTTGTGAGTAGGTATGAGACACTTACACATTTTAATGTTTATGATATTTTCCTACTTAAATTTTATTTTGCTTATATTTCAGAATCTTAGGTTTTTATTTTTTAAATGTTTTAAGTTGTACACTATCAGTTAACTATGCACTGCTCTACCAGCATTAGCAAAGAGGGGTAGATAATCAATGGCAGCCTGAGTCTTGGCCATCATGCTGCCAGGGATTGTAAATACAGGTTGAGCATCTCTAATCTAAAAACTTAAAGTCTGAAATGCTCCAAAATCCAAAGCTTTTAGTGCTGACATGGTGCCACGAATGGAAAAGTCTATACTGGACTCATGTGATTGGTCTCAGTCCAAACAAAGGCACAGTAAAAATATTGCGTAAAATTACTTCCAGGCTATGTATTTGAGGTGTATGTGAAACAGAGGAATTTCGTGTTTAGACTTGGGTCCCCTCCCCAGATGCCTCACTAGATAAATGTGAAAATTCCAAGATCCAGAAATACCCTAAATGTGAGATACTTCTAGTTCCAGGGCATTTCAGGTAAGGGCTACTTGACTTGTATGTGGATTTTTGTTTTGAGTTTACAGAATCCCAGACAGTCATAGAACTAATTTCAAATAATCACTTTGTGAATATTTTCACCCCGTGGTGGATCTAGGCATAGTTGATGGAGTGATTCTTCCCACGGAAATGCGCCTGCCCTGCTCAACGCGCCCGCATTGGTTGGAACCTACTATTTATGTGTCTGAAGAAGATGGACTCAGTAGAGCTGCCTCAGATGCTGTGGGAGGAGACAATCTGAACATGCTCTCGGTAGCAGTCAAAATACTGTCTGCTAAGTCAGAGTCCAATACAAAGGTTTGTGTTTTATACAGCAAAGTACTTGCTATTAATTTGATTACTAGCTACGATTGATTGTGTAAAAGGCAATACATTCATTTTCTTGGGAAAACTTTTGAGTTGCAGGTTTCCATAGGTAGTAAATATAATTCTTTGTGTTGTTCTCTGTAGGAATTTCTTATTGCTGTTGGACTGAAAGGAGCCACTCTTCAGCACAGAATGCTTCCTTCTGGGCTTAGCTGGCATGAACAGGTAGGGCAGCTGTTACATTCAGTTTATTTTAAAATTTATATTGATATATAATGCATGTAAGGAAAAGGTCACAGGTCATAAATGTTCCCCTCAGTGAATGATCTCAAAGTGAATACTATGTGTTAACTACCCTTAGATCAAAAAATACAACCTTAGGACCACCGCAGACAGTAATAGATTTTTTTCTTAAACTTTGGTTCCTAAAACTTCTCAGTGACAGAGTTGTCTGTTTGTCATTAAAGGAAAGGAAGGTACCCTGTGTTCCAGGAACTATTTATGCTTGTAAAATAGAGCCTGATATTGATAAAGCAAGCCTTGCTTTTGTAAACAGAAGATCTTTAAGTGCCGTGATTTCTGTCTTATCCCCTAGGCCAGCAATGGCAAACCTTTTAGAGATGAGCACCCAAACTGCAAACCAAAACCCATTTATCACAGAGTGCCAACACTGCAATTACACTGAATACTGAGCTTTTAGTTTAGAAAAAATGACTCATACATTAACATCTTTTATCTTAAAAAAAAATATAAAACTCACACATGCCATAGGTTTGCTGTCACTACCCTAGGCTGTTAATATGATGTTGCTTTAGAGCATTTTATCAGGATTTCTGTAATTAATTTTCAGTTGAATCACCTCTTTATAGATAGAGTTGAGGTTCAAAAATAATTTTTTTGGTAGTGCTGGTGAGCAAAACTAGGGTCTTGCACTTGATGAGCAAATATTCTGTTGCTACATCCCCAGTCCCATAAAAATATTTTTAAAAAATTTCTGTTGTGTTAGATTGGTTGTTTTTGAGTAATAAGGGCATTAAGTATGAAGCTAACTTTGAGAAATAGGCAAATTAACTTTGAGGACAAAGTTAGCTTTTCTTTATGTGAGAATGAAAAACAAGCATACTTCAATTTTTTTCATGTTCCTTGGACGGGAATTTTTCACTGTGCTGGAAATATAATACATTATTTAAAAACTTGAATGTTTTCAAGGATTTAGGAAACATGAAGGTAACTATCTGTATTTAGGGAGTAGATGGTTAATATCTACACTTAACCAACTGTGCGGGAGAGATTTAGCAGAATCTCCTTACTTCCTTAGAAATGTGAGAGTAGATGTTGGTGACAGGACCTGGTTTCCAGACTGAGTATAAATGAAGAAAATGAACTTCTTCAAGAATGAGTTCTATAGAAAAGCATACCATTCACGAGTTATTTAGGAAACCAGTCTTTTTTTTTTCTAAATAGTCTTCAACAAATAATTTTTTAGAGGATTGTTATAAGAAAAACAATGTAAAATTATATATACTCTGTTATTAAAGATGATTTTCTGAGATTTTATAGCATTGCATTTGTTGGATGGTTGTCTACATTTCAGATTTTACTTTTTACAAGTGCTGTACTCTTAAAAATTTTATATTTCATTGCATATATGTAAGGTGTACAGAATGTTGATTTGATATACACAGTGACAAGACTACTGTTTTCAGGCAAATGATTGTTATCTGTCACCTATCGTGATTTCCCTTTTGTGTGTGTATACAACTTGAAATGGATGCCTTCAAAAGGATTTTTCTTTTAGCATTATGAATTTCCAATAAATGGTGACTTTTTCTGTGTAATACTTTGTTTTATACTTATTAAGTGTATTATATCAAATCCTTTTTTTTTCTAAAAAGCATTTTGTATTTTTGTGATTATAGATCTTATATTTTTTGAACATTGCTGATGAACCTGTTTTGGGATATAATCCTCCAACTTCATTTACAACTTTTCATGTTCATCTTTGGAGCTGTGCCCTTGATTACCGGTACAATCACTAATGTGACCCATACATTTTATCTAAACTGTGTATTAGCTGGGCATGGTGATGCCTTGCCTGTAATCATAGCCCCCTGGGAAGCTGACATAGGATCATACATTTGAGCCCAACCCTGAGCATCTTAGGGACTTTGCATGACCCTGTGTCAAAATAGAAAAGGTGGGGGAAGTGGCTTGGTGTGAAGGTCCTGGGTTTAAACCTCATCACGACAAAACAAAAACAAAGCACAAAGTTTTGAAAGCTACATAGTTTGATAGCATTAGGTTAAAAATGTTTTAAAAAAGACTTTTCTCTTCCTCCAATTGATACCGCTCCTCCTTTTTATTATAGGCCCCTTTATTTGCCAATCCGAGCTCTTCTTACAGTTGAAACGTTCAGCATTTCTAGTAGTGTTGCCCTGGATAAATCTTCCTCTACTCTCAGGTACTGGTGTTGATATCACTGTGTGCTACATGTAGCTGTTCAAAACATAGTAACTGATATTTGCCTAAACCAGTTTATTAAGTCTTAACTTTTGTTAAAATCATCTTTCTTCTACTAATCATATTTTCTTGTCTAACTTACTCTGCTTCTCAGGTGACTTTTGACTTTTTTTTTTTTTTTTTTTTTTTTTTTTTTTTTTGGGG